TAGGTGTGTGTTTTTGTGTTTTGTTTTGTTTTGTTTTAATAGGGATACTTAGGGCTTAATTTTAAGTTTAGTGCTTCTTAAATCGTAAGGGCTTCAATTTTAAAAATAAGCATAATCCCGACTTCCTCTGTTAAAATCTTAGGATGTCATAATATTTAGTTAGTAAAGTGTTTTTCCTTTCATTAAGTAATATAACATGAACTTCTTGAAATTCACAGAATATCCTTAAAACCCTTCAGAGGAATTTAGTAGTTCATTGTGCTTTTACAGAGAGAGAGAAGAGAGAACTTTGTCAGTTAGGTTTTGGTCAAGCTAAGTCACAAAGCATTTCAATGAATTATGTGGCACTTTTGGTACAAGACTTAAAACTACTGAAATGCGCATATAGTATCCTGCCTGAGGAAAGTAGGAAAGGGTCTGGAATTCAGAATAGCAAAAATCCCAGCATTTGGTGTTTTTGTGAAGTATGTATCATGTCAAAGATTAGAGATAATGTACTGTACCCATAGCCAAAAAGAACTCTGAATTGGATTGAATGTGAATAAATTATCATGGAAAATGTCATTTCATATAAGAGTACAGAAAAAGTACAAAAGCAATTTAAATATGTGTAATAGTATCCTAACAAAAAAATGGGAGTCAAATTTCTCACTGAGCCATGAACTCACACCTGTAAACATGAATTTTTTGACAGTTAACCATTGCAAAAAGCATTGCTTTTTATTCCCTGGTTTACTGTCAAAAGATTCATGCTTACAGGTGTGATTTCGTATATATATATGAAAAATTTATTTAACTTTAATAATGTCTACTCAAGAGTGGAGATTTCTGTATATTTTCTTTATGTTGTTTGGAAGTCCACTGTTCTTTCCACTGTACAACTAAGTCCATCTGCAAGAAATATGCCTTCTAATTCATATAAAGATGTAGGACCTTTGTTTTTCTGTTTCTGTTGCTTAGATAATTGTGGTTCTCACATCTAGTGACTTTTTTTTTTAAATTTCTCTTGATGGCAAGGTGTAGCTCTCTCCAGCTTTGTGATTGTTTTAATTTCCAACACGTTTATGGAAACTAAAATTTAGGTTAATTAAAAATTCACACACAGAATTTGAGGTTTTTCCCATCACTTCCCATCTCTCTTCTGAGTCTTTGAAATGTAACTTGATGAAACAGTCATTTCACTTCTGGATGGTATGTTATAAAGGGGGCATTGAAATAAATTCTGTGATTTCATGGGGGAAAACATCTTTTCCTCCCCAGAAAGCTCATTCTGAAAGTGCAGGACCAGGAACAGGCTTTTATTCACACACTTTAGGTCAGGATCTTCACTGGACTGAGCCTCCTATTCTTTCACAGACTTTCTACCCAACAGCAATTCCAGAGTCGCTGACCAGTGTGTTAGCTCAGGAACTCCATCAGCCTTAGCACCTTGCACTCACTATTACATTCATCTTTCACAGTTTCAAGAAGCTAAACTTGATTTTTGTCCTTCTATTAGTATCCCTGCATCTCAAGTAATCTAGTACAGAGACTTATCTAAAAATTATATAATCTTCCTTACGTTTTTAAAGTTTTAGCCAGAATTGTTTTATGTGTATGTGTTCTATATTCCGTTGTAAATAATTAAATTTCATTATTTAATGTATTTAAATTCTTAACATATTTAATATATTTCAAATCCGCCCATCCTTCCCAATTCACATCGGGTTTTATATTTGTTTCAAATCCGAGAAATTGAAAGAAGACAGTACCATTAATAGAAGGTATTTTTCAACACTAACTCTGATTCTTCTCACTCATTCCATTGATAGCGTTGTTTGCCTCACTTTATGGATGGCAAAACAGGTTCCCGAATGTAAGGTCTCATGCCCAGTTCACATTTTAAATACAGTATTGACTAGAATATGTCTTCCTTTCAAGGAAGTCTCACATTTTAACACATCCTCATGGAGTTTACATTTATGACAGTTATCTGGATTAAATGAAACGGATTTTAATAAATCTAATTTCTTATTATCTATCCTCCTCTCCCCCAACTTCTCTAGTACCTTCTATGTTGTCCACCAATCCCTTCATTGTCACCAACATCCTGAGGTTTGGAAGGCAAGCTATGCTCACCACTATACCACCAACACACACCATCCTGCACTTTAAACACAAGAAGTCAAATGCTATTTACTGTCGGGGCGCCTGGGTGGCTTAGTCAATTAAGTGTCTGCCTTCTCCTCAGGTCATGATCCCAGGGTCCTGGGATGAAGGCCCACCCCCACGTGTGGCTCCCTGCTCAGTGGGGAGAGTCTGCTTCTCCTTTGTGCTCTCTCTCTGCCCCTCCCCTGGCTCATGTACATGCTCTGTCTCTCTCTCTCTCTCTCTCTCAAATAAATAAAATCTTTAAAACAAACAAACAAAAATGCTATTTACTATCTAATCCTCTATTTGATATCATCACTAATAAAACGAGTAAATGAAATAAAAATAAGATAAAAATGTTCCATCCTCTAGGCTGATTCCTAATCTTGACTGAGTCACAATTCAAAGTTCTGCTACTGTGTGTGTGTGTGTGTGTGTGTGTGTGTGTATGTGTGTTCATACCTTCATTTTAACCTGTATTTTTGGTAAGTCACCTTCAAACATTAGTCTTAAGCAAAACAATTACTCGGGGCAAACCTTGAATTCAACTCTAAAAAAGAATATTTATATATTTTTCCAAGAGTCTTGGGTAAAGACAAAGTGAGGAATTGAAGAGCGTATACTGTTGAAATAGAACATATATGCCACTTATTATCATTATGAAATATTTACATTGTAGTCCTGGTAAAATTACAGCATGAAGCCCATTGACATTGATTCCACATGCTCTTACAGATGCTGACATGGATTGGGAGGGAAGTGCTGTTGTTCCAGATCAGAAAATTATAATGAGATATGTAGCATCATAATGATCTTGGTTTATTATAGTTTTAGTTATACAAGAAAAATATTAAATTGTCCTTGTTATCCCATAATATAAATCTATAAATTCTCTCCTATGATTCTAGTGAGTTAAAGTATCTCCAAATACTGAAATTATAATCAAGCTTCAAGCAAGTATCCTGCACACTTAAAATTAATAGATTTGAACACCAGTATCATTCTTCATTTTTCTCTAAAAAAATTAATATTGCCATTTAAAGAATTCACAACACCCCCTATCTGCAGTTGTGGAAATGAATGTATATCATGCTCTGTAGTTGGTCATTAAACATCTAAAACACCAAAACTAGGGGTGCCTGGGTGGCTCAGTCGTTAAGCGTCTACCTTTGGCTTGGGTCATGATCCCAGGGTCACAGGATTGAACTCCACATTGCGCTCCCTGCTCAGCGGGAAACCTGCTTCTCCCTCTCCCACTCCCCCTGCTTGTGTTCGCTCTCTCGCTGTGTTTCTCTCTGTCAAGTAAATAAATAAAATCTTTAAAAATAAAAAAAAACACCAAGACTAATAAAATGTGAAATATTTGAGAAAAATATTCTGGATTATGAGATTCTTACATTTGCTTCATCTATGAAGGGGCCTTAATAAACTACTAAATCTAATAATCTAATAAAACCCAGAAAGTAACAAATTATGAAAAAAAAGTTTTATATATTATATCTTGAACCTAGATATTTGAGAAATTGTGATTAATAATCCGAACATCAAAAAGTGAAACAACTATTTGGTAACTGAAATGCCTATTAAATTGAGGTGGCATGCAAGCAATGTATAATTTCCCAAACTGAAAACATTACATTAAATATAATCACACTTGTTAATTCAACTCATGTTTAAAATAACCTTTAAAGTATTATTCAAATCAGGTTAATTTAGTCATAAAATGATTAGGTCTAAAAAGATCAATTAAGATGAATATGCATGTCCCGGTACCTAGAATCCCCCATTAATTTTAATTTAATAGTAAATGTATATAAATAAACAATTGAGTTGACTATAAATGACATAGAATAATAAAATAGTTCAGATCATAAGTATGAAATCAGGAACTAACAGCAATAAGAAATTTATATTCAAAACAATAGATTTTTCTGTAAATTTGTATCAGTAGTATGATACTAAATCAATATAGTTTCCAGTGACTTCATTCTTATCAATCTATCTTAAGATGATCTTTTATTTATTTAAAACAATTCCCTCATCTTCAACTGTATCTTTACTGTAACTTCCAAATAATACATTTTGCAATGAATATTTTCCTGTCATGTGCTTTATTGCTTCATGATATTAAGGTAATAGAATTAAGAAAATAGCATTTTCATAATAAACTCTTCCTATATTTAATCCATTTCTAAATTCTTCCTTTGGAAATTGAATTGCTTAGATTCATCTTGATCATTAATATCATTGGTTCTTTCCCCCTCAGTGAATTCACTTACACACGGGAAAAAAAAAATTATACTCATCAGGTTCAGTATGATATTTTATTGACATTAATGTTATGAATTCACATAAACTTTGATGTCAGTACTTACTAACTTTAAGAAGAGAATACATGACAAATGAAAAGCATTTTGCTAAGATCGTGATATTTCATAGTTTTGACAGCATCTGCATGATTAGCAAAATTGACAGTGAATGTACGTTTGAATATCCCCGATCCAGTTTTAGGACCTCAAAAAGATAGCCTTTAGTTTTCAAGGTTCTCTGCTAAAAACTGCATTTTGTAAATAATTTCCAAAAATTACAGGCATATCCTCTGACAGATGTCACTTTTAAAGTAACGTTTTCAATTTTTATTTCTCTTAGATTAGAACTTTGTAACTGGATTTCTAGGTACCTGAATAATGATTAAGTCTGTGTCCACTGTTGAAGGAGCAAAGAACCCTTATCATTTAATAATGGTATCATTGTTGTGATGTTGTGACAATGTTGTGGCATTATTGTTAGTTGTTAAGTGTGATGCATCATGATTAAAAAGTGTACTAGCACTAATCCTTGTGTTTTTCGGGTTCTGTTTGCACTTTCAGAGACAAGGAAATAGGATGGCATGAAACATGGCTCAGTTCTATTACAAAAGGAATGTGAATGCCCCCTACAGAGATCGCATCCCTCTAAGGATAGTCCGAGCAGAATCAGAGCTCTCACCATCAGAAAAAGCTTATTTAAATGCTGTGGAAAAGGGAGATTATGCAAGTGTCAAGAAATCCCTGGAGGAAGCGGAAATTTATTTTAAAATCAATATTAATTGCATCGATCCTCTTGGAAGAACTGCTCTCCTCATTGCAATTGAAAATGAGAACTTGGAGCTCATTGAACTACTTTTAAGCTTTAATGTCTATGTTGGAGACGCTCTATTACATGCTATCAGGAAGGAAGTTGTTGGAGCTGTTGAGCTGTTACTGAACCACAAAAAGCCCAGTGGAGAAAAACAGGTATGTGCCAGAGCACCGTTTTTGACAGATTTTCCTTGCAGAAGGTTTCTGTGGATATTCAAATTCTCTCCAGATTTTAAGAATTAAAAGCATGGAAATCAGAACTCTTAAGATAGAGAGCTAGTGGCAGCTACACACGTCATACCCTCTGACAGTTCCTAGTACTTGTGCCCCCTGCCCTGGCAAATCAGACCTTTAGGGAGAACTAAAGCAAAACAAAGGAGCCCACGGTGGCTTTGCCTTCATTGGAAACCTTTCTATGTAATTCCCAACCTAGAACGAACGCTGTTTGAGGCTCGGATCTGTGCGTGTGGGTATTTTTCCTCTTGTCTTTTCATTTCCAACATTCTACCACAGCAAGCTGAATCCGTTTGCTGCTTTCCTGTTTAATCTGTTTGCCTGTTCTGGGATTCTGCATCGTACTGCAAAAGTGAATTGGATCACCTAAGTTTGATATTGTTCATTAGCAAACTCTAGTGGATTCTTTTAAATTGAGGCAAATAAAAACAAAAAAGGATTACTAGAAAATAACTAAACCCTGGCTATAGATTTAACAGTATGCCAAAGTGTAGCTATATCTTAGTGTCATCGGTAGAAAATACACTCAAATGGCACATAATTCTACAATGTGTGGGTTTTTTTTTCCCTATCTTCCTATTTTTGTTGTTGTTCTTTGGCTTTTTTTTTTTTTTTTAACCACTAAGTAAGTGGAGAAATCATAAAAAGGAACGAATAAGGGATCTGTTTTTGTCTGTCTAGACCCTTCTGTCTGTGACTGCCCTGTATCTGAATTGTCTATTGGATCCCTTTTTCCTCTCGCACTGAACTCTTCACTTCCCTGCAAGTCCAATTGACTAATTGCAAAGACATTGCACATACTGCAGTGGCTCAAAATCTGCCTTTTAAAATAAAATCTTCAAATGTGTGTGATTCCACTCTAGCCATTTCTGCTGTATTGGATAATGTGCAACCTCTGCAAAGGACAGACTGTTTAGAAGCTACATTCTTTTAAAGCCAGCTCTGCTGTAGCTCCTGTTATCTCTGTTTTACTGGAGGACTTTTATCTGAATCCTTGCCATTTTTAGCAGAACAACTTCACGGCTGGGTGTCTCCTGAAAAAAAAATAACAACGAAAAAACTCTTGCTGTGTTGTCAGAAGCCTGTGTTCTATGGTACATTTTTATGCCTGCCCACCATTCACCCTTTCCCCTTACCAGAGCCCAAGCTTTCAGAAAGCAACACTCCACAAGGACAATACTTCTCTGCTTGTTGCTTTACTAGCTTTTTTGTTGTTGGTTTCATATCCCGTTGTTTGTATGTTACCTTCCCATTATATCGCTAAAATTTTACCGGCAGAAAATTCACCTGTTGCATATATCCTTTCAAACTTGTACAGACGTTGACAGGAGTGGGCAGGTCATGGTAATAGCTAAAGATATATGTTATATCCCAGGCTTTTACCACCAAGGGAAGTGCCCGACACAGATAGGAATGAGTAGGAGTCTGTTTTCATCTGTGTAAGTTCAGGTGCGGCTTTTGTCACCTTGTGATTTTGAAATTTCTTCCATAGTCATACCCCATGTTTTCTAACAACAACGACCTAATATTGTACACCCTCTTGCTTATGTCTATATAGGGGACCATGAGACAGATGTTGTGACTGTGGTCTAGATCATTTTAGATTGCACCAAGTCTATAGAACAAACTTGCTATTAAGTGTGCTTTTTACATTTATTACTAAGTAACTTTAGCTCTGTTTTCTAGAGAACACTGGCCATACATTTCAATGTCTCTTTAGCAAATGACATTTGTGCTGGCCAGAGTAATTTGGTGTCTGGAAAAGATATCTGCTATTATGAGAGTGTTTGTTGGAAGATATTCAACTTCTGAGCTCAACACTAGTCTCACAAGTAGGTCCTAGCTCCTTACAGGCACTTGATCTGAACCCTGGTTATTAACAAAAGGCAGTAAAGGTTTGCATTCGTCAGGAGTCAGAAATATCTCAGGCCATGTGTTTCTGGAAGATTTCTCTTGTATCTATTTGCTGGCCAAGAATTTTCCTTTTATATTTTTTTGTATTCTAGAATTCCTCTTCAGTGAAGGCACTAAGAATAAACAAAAAAAATATGTATCTTTTTGTTTGAACTTCATCATTTTGAAAGAACAAAACCAATCTACCACAGAGGTCCTGGTGCATTGTTGTTAGAACATATTATGTATATAATGTAGCACACAAAAGATGTTCTCCGGGCGGGGTGTGGGGAATACAGTAAATCCCATTAGAGCTTGACTGTTTGTTTATCTGTGACTGACTTACTTAGATAATACATCTCTCAGGTACAGCCAGCATGTTTTGGAGTAAGTTGCTGTAAATCAGTGCGTTGTATGTAGCAAATATGTTTTTGACAGGAATTTTTTTCCCTTACAAATTGTAATTTCTTAGATGATTCTTGTGATTGTTGTAAGCCATTTTATAATAATACACAAAATGGCTTTGTGTATTATTATAAAATTATAATATATATAATTTATAAATATATATTTATTTATGTATAAATATATATATATTTATAAATTTATATAATATATAAAATTATAATAATACACAATTTGCTGAATTTCTAGTCTCATGGGCATCCCCCAAAGACTCTGGGACACATTGCCATTAATTCTGTTGAGATCACTAAAGCCAAGTGTTTATACCTGAAAACAATAATATTCAAGTGGACAAAATAAACCTAACTTGTCCCGAAATGAGTCAAGAACGAGGATATAATATAAAAATTATACAAATCTGATTATTAGACCACTTACTTAAGAACTTAAAATGTGGGCACCTGGGTGGCTCAGTTGGTTAAGCATCTGCCTTCGGCTTAGGTTATAATTCCAGGGTCCTGGGATAGAGTCCCACATGGAGCCAGGCATCTGGCTCCCTGCTCAGCGGGGAGTCTGCTTCTCCCTCTGCCCCTCCCCCATCCATGCCAACTCTCTCTCCCCCTCTCTCTCACATACAAAGATAAATAAATAAATAAATTTTTAAAAAAGAACTTAAAAAGTGACAAATGTGGATTAGGAAATACACTCTTCTTTTGTAAGTTTGTCACATATTCATTTCTTTGTCTGGAAGAAGATGCAGTGTGTGGTGGCATCCTGAAGTCATAGGTTGTGAGTTTCAGATTAGTTTGTGTACATTTTCAGAGCACAGTTTACTATTTGCATATGCTTATTGTGCCTGGCCTTGTGCTGGATGCTAGGGAGTAGACATTGTTCCTATTCTTCGGAGTCTGAAGGTCTAGTTGTGAAGAAAGACAGGAAAAATATCATGGGAATATGAATAAGCGTGATCACAATGGAAAAGATGAAGGAGAAATAAACTCTTAGGTATTGACTGGATTTCGTAAATACAAACTATTAGTGGGTAGGGGACATGAAGGGGTAGGAGAAGGGCCTGAAGAAGGAGGAGGAAGGCTGTTTAAGGGTGTATACCTGGAAAAAGTTAACTCCATTTGCTAGGATTGAGACTATAGGACACGGTCTATAGGACCTGATTGAATATACTCAGTTTTTTATTTTGTTGAAATTGACATCTAGAAGGCAATTCGAAATTTTGGACTTAAAGGGGTCTGGGATTGATATATAGATGATAGTGAAGACTTTGAAACCTCTTGTCTTCCTATTACTCTGACATTGATTTCCTTTTCTTGCCCTTATAAATTGTTTAAATGTTTGTGGTTGTTAGCCTATTAAAAGATTTTCTCAATGCAGCATCTAACAAAGGTATTTCAGTTTTGCCAGATAAATAGATGGTCATAGATCATTAAATATTTCCTTCCATATTTAATGTAGACCAACATAAATCAAGGTATTGAGTCCTAGTGTTTTATTTTTATTTTGCTATTAACAAATGGAAAGAGTAATATTTCATTTCTTTCATACAGTAGACAGCTAGAGAAAATGTGATTCCCTACACTAAGGAGGAAGATGGAACATCATGTACTTTTTTTAAATTTTATTTATTTATTTGACGGAAAGAGACACAGCGAGAGAGGGAACACAAGCAGGGGGAGTGGGAGAGGGAGAAGCAGGCTTCCTGCTGAGCAGGGAGCCCGATGTGGGGCTCGATCCCAGGACCCTGGGATCATGACCTGAGCCGAAGGCAGACGCCCAACGACTGAGCCACCCAGGCACCCTGGAATATCATGTATTCTTACTGGGACTGTTCCCTTGTTACCATCATTACTCTGATATTCTCTGATAATTTTATTGACCTTTTCTTTAACCTTCTGAGTACCTTATTTCTCTACAGGGAATGACGGAGAGTGGCTTCTCAGCCCCAGTTTTGAGCCAATTGATTGGTTACTTGACTTTTAATTATTTCTAACAGACCTTTCTCTTTGATGTCATCTCAGACTAGATTCAAGGCCACATTCAATTTCAGTTTCAGCTGCTTCAGTACATGTCTATCAGAAACAGAGCTTTCTTTTCCATTCTCCACTTAGAAAGTGGTTCTCAGTCTTCAGCACCATTAGAATCACTGGAAGGGTTTAGTAAAACACAGATTGCTGGATCTGCTGGATCCCACCCCACCCGCGGTCTCTGAACCAGCAGGTCTGGAATGAGACCCCGGAACTTAGAGTTCCCACAAGGACATAAGGGATAGTAATGCTGCTGGTCAGGAGACAGCACTTTTAGAACCACTGACTTCGAGGAAGTTGAAAGTTATAGAATGACTGTGATTGTATATTTTATGTTAGGTGTGTATTGAACTATGCCATGCTAACCTGGCTTTCGGGAGATTTCAGTTAATACCCTTAAATATTAATGATTAAGTGATATTTATTATATGAGAGTCTCCCAATTTCACTAATATGTTTATTATACTTTTCCATTCTTTGGGAAGAAGATTTCGCTAAACATTACTGATTAGCTCAACAGTTAAGCCTTGAGTATTTCATTCGAAGAAATTTATTTTAAAGCTCTCTTAAAAAGAATATCAAATT